CCTTCAATTGTGCCCATGTGAGTTTCTCTACTAGGCTTGCCACTAAAACTTTTCAAGAAAAATTATTTAGAGGTCTTAGCCAAGCCTATTGGGAAAGTGTTAGCGTATGATCAAGCTACATTAACCCTTACAAGACTGGGGGTTGCTAGGGTGTGTGTAGAAGTCAACCTATTAGCTAGAAACTCGTGCAGAATATGGATAGACATGGGTGATGAGGGAGGTCGATGGCAGCGTATTGTGTATGACAAGAACAAACTTTTTCTGCAAAGCTTGCAGGAAACAAGGCCACTGCGAGGAAGAATGTCGTAAAAGGAAACTCTATGAGCATATATACTATGTAAGGATTTACTTCCTTAAAAAGCCAAGGTGACTAAGGCAATATCAGAGAATAAAAAGGAAAGCACGCTCAGCAAATCTTGGAGAATAATGGAACACAGACTCAACCAAGCATGGAGAATAATGGGCAGAAAATATCTCCATCGAAATCAAAGCCACCAAATGGGCCACAACAGTCAAGGGGTATTTGGAAACAACATTATACGGAGAAACAAACTGATGGGAAAAAGGACACTTTGGGTAATGTTCAAGAAATTAAGGGGCGCTCACAAGAAACATATGAAGAGGACACAGGTAGAGTGATTGAGATTGGTGACCACTCAGGGAAAGATACTAATACCATTTTAAACCGGGAAGGCAGAGGTTTCGGTTTTGAAAGCTCTAATCCTCTCTAGGATACTGCTCTCATAAACCCCCCAAATGCAGCGGAGGAGATTCACAATGCAAGGAAACTTTGGAAGCAACAGTTCTCGTGCATGATAATGATCATTCAATTTTAGTTCAATTCAAAGAGCATAATTTGATTAATAAGTTGGAGGAGATGCAGTGTCAACTGAACAAGCATAGAATCTGAATCCGTTACTATGACTAAAGTTCATGGGCATTCTTTGCATCTAGATTCTGGTAAGGATAATTCTCACAAAATTTTAAAGATGGGTGCAGTTGATAAGGCATCTCAAAGGCAGCATAAAAAAGTTTCTTTCAATTTTCTTAATCTGGATAGAGAAGATGGTGAGATTCTTTCAAGTAAAGATGATAGTGAGATTTTCACAAGTTCAGATGATAATTCAGAAAATGATATTAAAAAGTCTATCTCTTTGGACGGTCCATGTGTTTTGAATCAGCAAGCTTCGGACCCATTGTACAAGCCTTTAATTATTTCCAAGGAAATGATGGAGGAAGTTCACAAGCGTATCCATAGTGAAGAGGAGCTCATTCCAAATATGTCCAAGAAAGAGATTCACCAAACATTGAAATTAAATAGAATTTTCTCTCATGATGACTATGTGAAAGAGTCTTCTCTTCACGAGAACACAAGAGGGTTTTTCTCTAAAGGGAAGGAGGATAATTTAGTGCCTCAAATGGATTATAAGTCTTTTATGACTAAGTCCAAAGAATTGTTGGGAAAACTCAATAATGCTGAGAGAAAAAAAAAAGAGAAAAGAAGAGGACATAGTTGTTTTGGTGTTGGTGTTGAATAATATCCCAACCGTGGAAAATTCACCAATAATGACTAGGTCCAAATTCAATCTAACCTTCAAAATTCCAAAGCAAAAGAATCCATACGGATATTGGCGCTAAATGGAGGATTTTCAGCTACTTCATGGAGGATTTTCAAGATTTTCAGCTACTGCATGTTCTCAGAAGCAAGGAAACCAGCATATTTTTTTGATGGACTGTTTTGAAGGATTCACATGCATGCAAGTCGGTTCTCACTTGGACTCTTTAAAAACTTGAAAGGGGAGACTTGTGTGATTTAGGGGATTACCTTATTTAGTGGGAGACAAACTTGGACAAAATGGGGGACAAGTTATATGTTGGAAGTTTGAATTGGTAAGGGAAGATGGAGAATATATTTTGCATGGCTAAGGGGAGGAGAAAGGTTAAGCTACAATGGGTGACTCAGGATAATTTGAAGTCTAAAATGATACTTCTAAATGAGCACTTCTATGTTTAGTATTAATATTTTTTATTTAAAATTAATTTTTCTTGCTTTTTGAGTTGCAAAAGTATTAATTAAGTTTTTAAATTCAAGTTTTGCTATCATATCTTTTTTAATTAATAGTATCGCTAATCTAGTTATTCTTTCTTGTGACATAGTCGATCTTAAGTAATATTTTATCAATTTTAATTTTGAAAAACTTCTTTTTGCAGAAGCAACTGTTACATAAATTGTTAATAATATTCTATAAGTAATGCATGCATTTGGAAAAGAATCTAAATTTTTTATATAATTTAGTATCTTAATTAGAGTACTTTCTTTCGTTTGTAAAATTTCTTTTAAAACATTTAGTTCTAAAAATAAATCTAAGCTATCAATATCGGAAACAATTTCATGTTTTAAGAAACATTCGAGATCCAAACAATATTGTTTTAAACTATCATTGGTCAATAATTTTAATTTTTCTAAGTTAAACAAAAAGCCAAAAATATTTTCGTACTTTTACAATTGTACAAATCTACTCTTTAGTGAAAAATAGCTTGATCAATTATATATGTAAAATAATCAATTCTAAAAGATTCTTCAATATATTGTGTTACCTCATTATCAATATTTTCATCAAATTATTTTTTTTACGAACTCTACGTTTTTCACGAAATATAAGTTCTATATCCATTTCACATGCAATCTTTTTAGATGAAATCATAGCATTTGTAAATCCACTTTTCCTATATTTTTCAAAAAAAGAAATGAAACATTTTAATTGATTTATAACAATATCAATATGCATGTCTTTTGAATGTAAATATTTACAAACTAAGTTGACGAAAAATAAAATATCATACCAAATAGTCATACCCAACACGAACTCAAAATTCTCAATCTCATACGTTGCTAAACAATTAGCTTCACTTCTTATTTTAAGATCTTCACTAGTTTCCGCTAATTTCAATAATACATCTTTTATTCTTAGAGTTTGAAATCTTATTGTTTTAACACTTTCAACAGGACTTTCCCAATGTGTTTGTGACATTGACTTAAGAGTTAAACCTTGAACATTATCTTGTAAAATTTTTCATCGTGTTGTGGAAGAGAAAAATAAAGAATATATACGTTGTACTATTCCAAAAAATGATAGCCTTGGGACAATAGTTAATCATATCACAAAGTACTAGATTTAAATTATGACAACTACATAGTGTGTAAAATGCTCTAGGATTTTGTATCAATATTTTTCCATTGACTTGGATCATAAATATTTATATGACTATAATCACTTATTTCATTAAGATTTTGATTGTCTTCTATTTTATTATCTTTTATTTCACTATTTTATTTTTCAATATTTTTCATTTCATTATCTTCTATTTCATTATCTTTCTATTTCAATATTTTTTATTTTATTCTCTTCTATTTCATTATCTACTTGTTCATTTTCATAAATTTTATCTAAATTTTTTGTTACATTATTTTTGTTACTAATAATCAATTTATCAGGAGACCCTTTTTAAATTCTATTAGTTGGTCCATTTTTCTTTTTTTCTTTTTTTAATTTTTCATATCCACTTGGTTGTCTTCTAGGTGTCATATTATTAATTTATTATAATTATATAACAATCAAACAAACACAAATAGTATATAGTATAGTTAAAATATATAACACAACCTTCAATTTAAGACGTAAATTTTTTTTCGGAATCTAAAATGAAGGATGGAGAACGTCTCATATGGATGATGTTGTGCTACTGTGAGTTGAGAGCATTGAGTGAGAGAGCGAGAGAAATGAAGAATGTTTTTTGATTTAGTTTAATAAGAGAGAGACAGGAAAAAAAGATTATTTTTTGTGTTGGTTTACCAAGAGAGATAGAATTAAAAGTAAGTGTATTGATTTTTTAAAAAATTTGATGTGACTTTTGAGTTTAGACTTTTTTTTATTATTAATTTTTTTTAGATATTTAATATTTGAATTAAGCTATGGGCCTAAATAATTGATTAAGCTTATATTTTTATAAAATACTTTTTACATAAATTATTTATGATATTTAAAAATTTGGGACTTCCTTTTAAAATAGAACCGAAAGCCCAAGTTTTTTTCAAGGAGATGAAAAAAAACGGAGATTTGCTAAATCCAAATCTTGCCTCTTGGAACTTTTAGAAGACTCCAATGTTTTCATGCTACATTGTAGATCATTTAATGGTAAGTGGTGGGCCATAGCACATGCAAGTATGCAACGTGATCTGCTTGTTATATGGGAATGGAATACAGTATCAATTACTTGAGAACCTAATCAAAAGGACAATGCTAGTTCCTAGCATTTCAAGGAAGTGGGAACAAGGGACCCACCCCTTCCAAGATATTTTTGAAGGCTTTGCCTTACAAGATAAGTTAAATTGGATTCATGGTGGGGTACATACTGACGAGTACTTAGTAAAAGCAAGCACGAGTGATAAAGTAATTTGCTAAGCTTTTGAGAGCACTTTGCAAACTTTTTAGAATAATCTTTTAAAGTTATTCTTTCCTAGCGTTTTAGAGTAATCTTTTAAAGTTATTCTATTCGTAAGGGGCAAGATTTACGGTCTCCTCAATTATAATAATTTTACTTTTAAAAATTATAAATTCTATCATTTTTACAGTTGGAACCTCTACTTTAACAATGTTTAACTTAACTTAAAATAAATTATAATTTCTGATATAATACTGTACCGATATCGATACCCTATTCTTTCTCAACTTAAAAAAATAAGTAATTTGATCACAAAATTAATAGACGGGCCTAGGTCTGAAGTCGGTCCAGGCTTTGGTCCTGACTGTGAACTTTATGATTGTCCTTGGAACCGCACTACAAATTTCCACAACATCAAACAGCAAATCAGTCCAAACAAGACACATGTCCAGCCTCCTTTATGAAACAACACGTGTACATCGTAAGGCTCTCACAAGACAACGCGTACCAGCCAAACTTCTTTTACAACCGCCCTATACCATTCCCTCCTTCAAGTGCCTATAAAAGTACATTTTAGCCCCCACATTCTTCATGCTTCGTTTGGTAAACGCCCTGCAATTCTTCATCTTCTTCCTCCTTAAATCTCTGCAATTCTTCTACACTAAGTCCAAATATTATTACATAAAAACACACACACACGCGGACTGTCATGGTATTTCCGATATGTGTGCAGTGTGGCACGACTAGCAACCCTTGCCGGTGCAAGGTGTTCGGCCCAACACTTGGGTTCCTGGCGTTTGTGGCGACGGCGATTGTGGAGTGGCCGGTGGGTGCTCTGGTGTACTGCTTTCGCCGGACGAAGGGTCGCCGCCTCATGGCTCATCCGGCCACCGTGGTTTATCCGTCCGTTGCTAGTGCAATTCCCATTTGAATTCCGAAGGTCAAAGTTGTGTAATTCCCACTGTTGTTTTGTGTAAGAAAACTACTATATAATTCAAATCTATATCTCAAATAAATAAAGGAGAACCATTAGATGAGTAGCTTCCATCAATCTTTGTAAACGAGACCCACTGATCCAATAGTTCTCGTTTATTTGGGTTTTGGGTTTTGTGTAATGTTGGTTTTCTGTTTTTTTTGGATGCTGTAATATTCCCTTTTCTTTGATTTTCTCTTGTAATAAATGCAAGTGGCTTTAACTATCTGTAGGCCAAAGGCATGGTGGCATTGGCAATAATGTATTTTGCTTGAGAAATTAGAGAAGTTTAATGGTATCCCTTCTATTGGCTTAATGGTTCAGATCTAATTTATGATCTAACACTGCAAAAAAGAGACATTTATCGGGGTTTATTATATATAAATAAACGTCGTAAAATATTATTATTGATGTTTGTTATTAATGCGGTTGAAACCTCCGTCAAAAAAATTATCGATGTATAATTAAACGTCACTAAAATTAAAGTGACGTTTACTAAACACTGAAGTGACGTTTATTTAATCGAAAATTTCTTTTTAAAATTTTGGTGACTGGATCTATTTTACGACGTTTATTTAAACACCAGTAATTATTATTTTTGGAACAACTGATTTCCGACATTTATTTAAACACCGGTATTGATAATTTTTTTTTAAAACAAATATGTCAGTACAAACATATTATTTAATTCTGCCAGTACAAAAATTTACATTTCTGAGAGTCAAAAAACATTAATTCTGCACTCACCAAGTTATTGTTAGTTTACAAGTGATCAAAGAATGAGTATTTAATTGCGTCTCAACTCTCGAGAGTAATGTAACAAAAATTAAAGAAGAAAGCAAAATAGCACAAAAAAAAATAAAATAAAACAGAACAAGTTTCTCTTATGGGCTCTTGCAGGCATAGATCAACAATGAGAATTCAACTTTCTCTTGCTCTTTCTGCATCACCTGCTATTCCCACCACCACCTGCTATCCATTCCACTACTTGTCCTGAACATGAACATTCCACTTCTCTCCTTCGTTGAACAATAACTTCTTGTCCTTCGTTGAATTCCTAATTGTATGCTCCTCCGTCAATATTATAGATTCTAATAACTTTGTTTTACTGTATCAAGAATGATATAAAACATCTAGCATGATTAAAATTTCTAATTTCCATTATCGCACCAACCATTATACAGCTGGGTTAAGTAAAATAATTTCATGTTTATGGTACAGTAGATTTGAGACATATTCACCTTCCCCAACCCCCAGGCTCGGCCCAAGAAAAAAAAAAAAAAAAAAAAGAAGGAAAATCTGTTGGTGACGAAAAGTAAATATTCAATTATACCATCATAATGCCTGTGGTGGTGAGATTACTAAAATCATATAAAGGCAGTGCCACAAGAATAGCAGCAACAGAAAGACACCCAAAGGATAAAATACCAAGATAAGAGAGAACCTCAGCAAACTTGATATTCCAATAACTCATGATGGGATGTAGTGCAATCAAGTCACAGAACAGTGATGAACACCCTTATCAAGAATTGCTTTTTCTAGACTTACGAGATGCTCACATTAAAACCCAAAGTCTTAAGAAAAGGAAACAAGAATAAATGAATAGCAAGATATAACAGACTGGACATGGCCCTGAAGAATGCACTGTCACAAGACCCATAACTAACATTACACAGGCATCATATAACACTTAATAAACTCAAATCAACTCAATAAATAAAAACTTATCTCTATAATGCTTTGATTAGCTCCACAAATCCTTCTTGTCATTTGGCACTACCTAGGACATCATCCTCCAATAAAATAGCAAGACAGACTTTCCCTCATCTGGGCCTTAGCAATCAAGCAAAGAGAGATAAGCTTTTTACTTGGACCAACTTAACATTGTCCAAGTCCAAAGAAAAAAAAAGCTCCACATGCCAAAGCTTGGCATTGGCCTCTCGTGACTGGAATTGATTTTTTTTCTTGGCCAATTCTTAATATGGATGTAGCAACTCATTTGCTCACCAACCATGTTGGTCAGCACTCAAATAGTAAAGTTTCTCTAAGAAAATCAAGCAACCGCAAGATCACAAACTAGAGAAAGCCAGACTAAATGATTAAAATTAGAAATCAGGCATGCTTACAAGTTACGGATACCGAAAGTTTTCCTGATTAGCCAGTTACTATAAATTTAGAGCATCTCCTTCACCACGAACGGCTGTCCCCAATAACTAAATGATCACTATAGTAACCCAAGAAAGAGGATTCTCATATAGTCAAAGATGGGAATGCAAATAACTAGATTTAATCAACCTGACTGAAAGAATGCAGGTGTCTATGTTGTCTATATTCTACGCACAGAACACAGTTAGGAATCTCCACCTCTAACAAGATTCAATATTGTTTCATCTTTCTTCTTCTGGGAATCCAGTAAATCAAGTTAAATATATTAGTTCACATTAAATGCCGAACAGAACTTGAACACGCATATAAAATTATGCCATTAACATTTAAAGGTACAACTAACATGGAAAAAAAAAAACTTTTAGGGTAAACCAAAACTCAGTAAAGGTCCAATTTGAGCTGTACATGAGATTCCCAATATCTCTTTCCTATTGGCAAGCTCTGCATCATCCCTTATTAAACACAATACTGACAAATTGAACTCCAAATCATAAATGTATGTAGCCAATCAAAAATGTCAAAGAACAAGACAGCAATTACTTGAAATCCAACCTTGAACTACCTGCTCGGTAGGGTGAAATAATATATTTTTTAATATTTGTAAACAAGGGCAAAGGTAAACCTGATGTCATCACACTGGCAGTGCACCCAACGCTGGCAGACATCGCAACAAACCATAGGCGTAGATTTGGAATCTCTGTAAACCTGCAGAATTTGAGCCAAATCGATTGTCAACTTCTTTTGCAAAGACATTCATTACAATATTATCAAAATTTACACAGATAGATGATCACTCAATGCAAATGGAAATCCAACTCAGATATAAACTATTCTAATGCATATAAACGTGTATTTCACCCAAAAAAAAACAGTGATGGAATGAACCTAGTACTCACCATTATCATCTTACCTGGATGAAACTAAGGATTGTGAGTTTGTTGACTATTCTTGTAATGCAATCCATAAAGCATGGACCATTACCCAAAACAACGACTTAAACTCGGTTGCTATTGAGTCTTTTCTGGAACCCCAATCAAAACATCAACAATCAAGAGAGAGAGGAAGAGATGGAACACCATGAAATAATTAGCCGAAATGCAAACAAGTGAGAAAGAGGTGGAAAGATGGTTACCGGTGAAGTGAGGTGGGTGTTTACCTTTTTGGGAGACTATGAAGTGACAAAGAATCAAGAAATCACCAAGACACTTAAGAGTCTAAGACAATTAAAGCCATAAATTAATAAATATATATCTATATCTATATTACTATAAAATGTCAACAAAAGTGAAAATTTTTTAATTGATCATAATAACCCTAATAAATAAAACTAATGCCAACACTAATTTTTTAATTGTGCGATTTATCATTCTAAATTGTTAAACTCTACAAAATCTAACGCTGATGTCTTTATAGTTACACAACCTGTTCATTTTTCACCTTAAGCATGTTTCTATCACTAGCATTCATACTTGAAAGATGATAAGTCACAACAGAAAATCTTGATGTATGCATTTATTATCATTGAATTGAATATATTTGTTCATATTATCACATCTCAGTACTGTGTTCTCTTTGGCCTATCTCTCATCTGTGACTATTGCCTTCCGCTCTGTATCATAAAATTGAAGAAAAGGTTGGTTTCTTTACACATCCATTCTTGAATATTTTCCACCGCTAATTAATCTCTTTATATGTACGCTATATTCATACAAGAACAAATCCTTATTCCTTACTCTTTGGAATGTGTTCTTTGAATATTGTAGCATATTTTTACAAATTGCAGGTCAAGGAATTCCAAATGCAAAGGTTAGTGAAGGTTTTTGGTGTTCTTGATTTATCATGTCTACAAAAGTGCAACTCAAAAAAAAAAAAAAAAAAAGATTGTATAATGTGTAGTAGAGGTAAATCTCGTGTTTGGTTTCTTACGTACTTTATATCAAAACCGTATGATGTGGTGAAAAAAAGAATGGCCATCCACCTTGAGATTGAGTTCCATCCAGCTAATCACATGCACCGGTAAGTATTTTAATTTATAAGTTTTTCTAACCATTAGGTATTTTCAATTAGACACTAAATACTAAATAACGTGTATGGAAAAAAAAAAGTGGAGAAAAGAATTCAAAAATCACATAGCACGTTATTGGTCAGCTTGTTGGTAATAAAATAAAATTAGAGTGTTACTCAAATACGAAATTCAATTTTATATAACAAATCTTCTTAGTATCAAAGATAGATTAGAAACAATACAACTTGTGAGTGAGTGGCTTTCTGAACCTATGGCTTAATATGTAGTTCGCCACAATGAAGAATTTATTATGCTCAAAATTTTATTTATGCGCACAGGACATGCAGATATGATATAGGAAATTATTTCCTATTTTTTGCACTATTTTAAGTGGGAATTTTTTTACAAACTATGTTTACCCTTGTCCAGTTGTTTAAAGTTTTTTTGAGAGTTTGATTCCTCATTTGTAGTTCTATAGAAGGATTTAGCAGGTTTACTCAAGATGATATGGCAGCTTAACATGACTTAATTACTGCATAGTAAAAAAAAATGTTGAGTATAGCAATAAAATTACTTTTCTAAAAATATGAGTAAATTTAAAGAAGTTTAATACTTACACTAAAGTTCTCGTGGGAAAAACATGGATAGTTTTGTTGTATGAAATCATACACCAAAGGGTCTGCAGAAAATATTAATCAGAATTGTAGAACGCAATAGCAGACTCATTAAGATCTAAATAACGAGAATAAAATCGATATGCCATAATGTTAAGTCAGAAAGTCAACACTATCAATTTAAGAATTGATTGAGATAAATACTAAGCAGAAAATGTCAGTTTCTTGAATTTATTACACTAGACAGAAAAAAAATTACAACAGTTTTCAGTAAGGAGTTGGTCGAGAGTTGCATAATTATATGACTTCCTTTGACTGTTGCTTGTTTAGGTTGTAGCTGTAATACTGTTGCTGCCATGGAAATAGATATATTAGGAAGAATATACATGATGCCAAGAAAGACATAAGGCTTGTGTGCTTCTTTTATTGTGAAAGAAAGACCATCTTCCCTTTTGGCACTGCCTATTTTCCAAAATTCCCTCAATTTGGAAAATTGTAGCTGATATTAAAAGAAATAGTCATAACCTCTTATTTGAGAA